CCTCTCCCCTCTCCCACTCCCCCTTCTTGTGTTCCTGCTCTTGCTCTCCCTTTCTCTCTTTTCAAATAAATAAATAAAATCTTAAAAAAAAAAAAATTACATACAATTTTAAATTCAGTTCCTCAGGCACGATAGTCACATTCAAGTGATCCATGCCACACATGATTAATGGCTACCATACCTGACAGTGCAGAAAAAGAGTATTTCCATCACTGTAGAAAGTTTAATGGGACAGCATAATCTACAGAATAAGCTTCAGAGTCAGACAGACCTAGTTTTAATTCTACTTATTCACAGTGTGATCCTAGACTAGTTAATTTCTCTTTGACCCCATTTGGGGGGGGGGGGGGAAGCAGGGAATAAATAATACCTACCTCACAAAGTGTACTTGATGATTATGTGGGATAACATGAAAAGCCCCTTTACATTGTCCGGCACATAACAATTAACACTTTCCTTTGGATGCTTTTTTTATTTCGATTCCTCTATATAACATCTTTATTAAAAGATACAAACACAAGAACACCCCAATGAATATCTTCCCCTCAAGATAATCCACAGTACCTAATTTTCAATCTGTTCCTACCAATTTTTTCAAATATTTGCATCTTTCTTCCAGTGTTGCTACTTAGGAATAATGAAATGAAGAATGAAGGTAGGGGGAAATGCCTCTAGTGAAGTGGAAGAGAATGTAATAAATTTCCCCTCTTATTTCCCATCTAATTTTAAATAATGACTATACTGACTGATCATGCAAAGAAAAAGAAATAAATTACACTGTCCCTCAATACTGCACTTCCGCACCAATAAAGAAGATTCTACAGTACTTCTACATTACGTTCCTTCTCACCACCTGTACTACTAATTGAATATTAAATGAAGAAATAACACTTTCCTCTTACTGATACTTTCCTGGTAAACAGTAATAAAGAGGATTTCCAGAATGTTAAACCAATCTTTACTAGCTTAATCTAGTAAACTGACAAATTTAATAAATCTAGACTACAGCACATAAAAAACTTCACAAGATGCATGCTATTACACAGAAAAACAACAAAATTCAACTCAGTTTGTAGCCAGTGATTTTCTGCCAACACTAAATTTTATGTAGGAGCAACAACTCATGTTTCGCCACATCAAGTTAAATAGACCTGCCATTTCTCATGAGGTCACCAATTTTACACTCCTAAAAACTAACATAAAGAATTAACATTCACGTTTAGACATCCACCAAACAAGACTTCTAAATATTTTTAAAACTTTCTTGTTGCTTAAAACTGACCATATTAACTCCCAAAGGGCGGTCCCCTCAATGTCTCCTTGAAATTCATCTGGCATTCTCTTACTTGGTCCTTAAAGATAATTTACTCAAAAACATGAAAAACCATCCCCCTTAAAGAGTTCAGAACGAGTCAAATAAATGCTAAAGAGATAACACTGCATATTATACTGTCACTTTACAACTCTAATTAATTTTATTAGATAAAACTAAAATATTTTGAATATACAAATCAGAGATTAACAATATTCTAGGGAGGGGGTCACATAATTTTTTTTAAAAATGAAAAAGAAAAAAAGAAAAAGTTTCATTACTATCCTACATAAAGTATACGTTTAAAAAAGTTAGGCTTCTATGCCTCAACTGATGAAATCTAATTTGTGAGAGTCTATAATTTTTTAAAGTCCTTCAATAATAATGAAGTGTACACTGGTCACATTAGAATAGGTCAAATGAATTTTCCTGAGGCTGCATTCTAAGTACATCTGACCCAGAAAGTATTTTTAGCAAGTGTGTTCAATCAATGCTGGTTTTATGCCTAGCTTAAATTAGAAATTGGGTGTCACAAATTTAAAGTAACCAAGTTAGTAGGGACATTTTAAAAGATACTCAGAACATAAGAAAAAACCACGAGTTTGAGACAATTCAATACCCACAGCCCAAAAGCTAAGCAGGTTAGGAAACAGGCAATAAGAAAGTCACATCCTCTTCATTACCACTTTTCAGTAACATGTGATTTTCTAACTTAATAAACTTTAACCTACTCACTATTAATAAAAACTACAAAATAGTGATGGCTCCTAGTGTTTTTTTTTTAATCTCTTGCCAAATGTTTAAAACAGATTAGCTAAATCATAAATATTCCATGTCCTAAAAAACCATGTTTTTCTTATTAAACCAAACCACTCAGGAACATGATACTGGACCATGTGTGTATGTCAGTGAAAAACGGTAACAAAGATATGTGTGTCATTAAAGTAAAACAAAACACAGAAATGGACATAAAAATAGCTTCTGTGGTAACTGGAGCATGAATTTATTCTGACAAAAAATGGTGGGGTCCACAAAAGATTGCACTCTTATTGTGAGTCAGTAAAGAAGTTCTATACAAACTTTTGCTTACGAAAAATCTCTTTTGAAAAAAAATCTATAGGTTGAATTTATATTCATCAAATTCAAGACCTAACCGATATATCTAGCTCTATTCCAATAAGCACACTTTGGACTCTGAACAACCATTTATTTTAAGGTCAGTTCCTCCTCCCTTAAAAAAATGAAAAATAATTGTTCTCTCTGGCATGTTAAGGTTCGAAAACCAGGATGAAAAAATATCCGGGCTTTTACTGTTCCATAGTCTTTTTACTTAAATCCTCTTTTACAAGTCGGATATATTGGCTTTTGGGTTTTGGGGGGGTTTTTTTTCCTCCATAAACATGTGTTAAGCTGTACTGTTTCAACCAGACCCAAGATTTGGTCACATAAACCCAATATTACTCCAACTCTGATTTAAAAGCAGTTGGTATATTGCAGATATACAGGTTCCCCTGGAACAAACGCTTGAAAATACTACAAAATCGTTCTTGTCCATAGCGGTGTCACTGTATAAGGCAACCCTAGATATAAAAGCCTCCCATTCCAAATTTCGCAGAAACACCGATACATATACCTGTGCATTTGTAAACTGTTCCATTTTAAGGAAACGCTGGCAAATGCATCGGTACGTCTACTCAGCTACATCTCAACTTTTTTTGGCCCAACTACAGTATATACCGGTAGAATCATAAGCAGCTTAAAACTTCAATGGGACGGACAATCAGCCCAGGCAGCATATGCAAGAAGCACTCATATGAGCCAATTAAAAAAAAGAAAAAGAAAAAAGAAAAAAAGGAATCCTACCAACAATGGAAAACTCAGAAGATTCTAAAATCGTACCTAGAGTTTAGGTCCTGTGGAACATTCCATCTCCGCACCGATTCCATCCCTTCTCCCTTCGCTCACCCATAACATATTCCAGCTATAAGCCCCAGGAGCTGCGAGAGCTGAGGTCCCGGAAAGAAAGGGGGGCGGGGGGAGGGGGAACAAGCATCATTTTTCTCCTTCTCTTAAATCAACCTTGTGCCTCCGACTAGCCCTACCTGGCTCGCCTCCCACACCCAGGTAACAGCCTCGCGCACCGCGCAGGGCCGAGAGGCCGGCCGGGACCCCAGAGCCTCTTACCTTCGTAGCACAGCCGCGTCCCCTCGGCTGGAGAAGAAAAGCCTCGAGGCCCGGGCGCGCCGCGGGGAAGCGCGTCCGCCGCGCCGCTCCCGGGGGCTCCCTCAACGCCCCCCC